GGACTGGGGGATGGGCATAGGGGTAGAAGAGGAAGGGATGGCAGAATTGGGAGTGAACCAGGGAGGGGGCTACAGCTGGGATACAAAGAAAATAAATTGTAATAAATAAAAAAATAAATTAAAAAATTAGTATTATCTGGAAAAATATTAACATAGAGTTAGAAATCAGACAGAGGAAAGAAAACATCACTGGTATCCTATTGTTTTATGCTTTTATTACAGGTTAATATTCTAATCTACATATTCACATTTAATTTCTGACTATAGCTTGTACAATAATGGGAAATAACTTTAATGGCAAAACTTGAAACACACTTTTTAAAGGACATTTTCAAAGGACAAGATAGAAACAAACTTAACTGGCTTATACATTTCTGTAGACGATTTTTTAAGTATGTCATTTAGCTATTTTGTAATAAAAACCTCATTCATACCTATTTATAAAAAAAGGTGAATAAATAAAAACGACAGTTTTCAGAGTATTCACCTTCTAAATATAGCATGTCAGCAATTTTCTTTTCATGAATAAATTAAATTTTATCCAAGAAAATTATTTTAGTGAATCAATTTAGCTATTTTATTCTTATTAAAGTAGATGGGTTAAAAAAACTGCAAATGTAGTACAATGAAAGGTAGCTATTCTGACATGTAGACAACTGTGTTTGAAACTCAGAATTTCAAAACAGAAACATCACTATTCAACCTCGTATTAAAGTTATTCTTAAGTAAATTAAGGAAGTGCCTATGATTTACCAACCTCATTGCAAGGAAAGAAAACAAATGAAGAAAAAATAAGGAGTTGATCATACAGGTATAATAAATATCAAGTACTATTACGTAGAATATATTGAAACAAATAACTCACTCTGAACTCCATGGGAGCGTACTATTTTCCAGGTTTCTGATGCTACGTCTTTGACATCCACTTGATAGTGATGAATAGGCACACCTCCATGGGAGTCGGGTTTGTTGAAGGAGACCTTGGCTGTGGTCTGTGAGAGCTCAATAATCCTCACTCCGTGGGGACTAGAGGGCACATCTACAAAGGAAACAACCTGAACAATGAGGAGGGCTGTTACTAAGAATTATTTTGCTACTGAATCTGATATGAAGTGACATTTATTTTATATGCTTGCATAAGAATTGAGCTACTTAGTAAGTAGTAAAAAATATCACTTAACATATTCAAATTAAAAACCTTGTATATGTAAAGTTATCTATAATCTTGTGTTTTCTTGGGTGTAGTTCACACAATGATATAAATGGGTATTAAATCTAAGAGAAAAAAAACAAAAACGACTAACTAATTTCTATTATGACAGAAATATATCACCAAACATTTGGTTTTTGTTGAAGTGAATACAAACAAGTTTTTCCTTTCTCTCCGTGTGTGAGCATTTACAAGTCTGCATATATTAATTAAAAGTGGTGAAAATTATATTATTCTACTGTGGAGATAAGCTTTTCACTCTCCGCTACCATCTAACAGGATGTTGCCTGTGTGTTTGTCAGACATGATCTATGTTGTCTTTCTTAAGCTGGGGCACTCCAGAGCTGGATCTTTTATTATCGACATCGATTTTTAATGCAAAACCGCGATGACTGAAGCAACATGTTCTTCCACTTTCCTTAAGCACCACACTTCATTGTTTCCTGACATGATGTGTGAGTATGTTTTCCTAAATTCTCCTACTGTTTCAGCTTCTGAAGATTGGATATCCACGAACAATCAGGAGTCAATGACAATCGCTGTGAGCCAGCCTTCTCTTTGCAGATTCTAAAAATACACACTGCAGCACTGTGGCTTCAGAAGAAACTGATGTTTATAAACTCTTAATTTGCTCCCGTGTTAGGTCCCATCTTATAATACTTAGCATGTTTTACGTTCCTTTACCACAGAAATGAAAATTCCACATATTCCTTGCCCATGTTCATTTTGACTTGTAGATGAAAAGCAGATGTACACAGCTTTGTTTGCCAGAAGTGTTGAATCTCATTTTCTTGTTTTCTAAAAGGTTCACATGGAAACTGGCACATGAGACGTGCAGGAGGAGATCCACTGAGTATGAGGCATGCTGCAAGAGCAGTAGAGTGGGGGCTTGGTAGCAACATTTCTTCATTTCTAGTTAGTAGTTGCTGGCTGTGGACCGCGCTGAAGCTGCTTCAGTGTCTGAAAGCTAGATGATGACTAATGCATTTTCTTTCATTTGATTTTTTGATAAGTATTTGTAATCAGCTTATTTTATTTATGATAGCAATTGAAATCCTGTAGTCTGATTAAAGTCCAAAATGGTAAGTAGGTTGTAAGAAAAAAAAAAAAGAAACATGAAGACATACCATAGTAAAAGTCTTCAACAGCACCAATATAAAAAGTGTACTGATGGATTTTTTTCTAGTTATTTTTGAGCATCTCTCTCTTTTTTTTTAATTTCTAACAGGACATACACAGATTTAGTTTTTTCTTTGACTAATGATATGTTAGCAGTACTAGTACCTCTCATCCTTTAATGTTGAAACTTAACTATAGTTGTGAAAATATTAACATATGGGTTCTTTTATAACAAGGGGAGAGCTATGATGTATGTGAGTAGGAACTTTATAAAAGGAGCTATAAGTACCACATTTGCTCTTTATTCCATGTGAGGCATTATTTAGAGAAATGTTTGTGCAGCATGATCGCTCACAAGATAGTGTTAAGTCTCAGGTACTTTTGAAAAGGTACAGACAAACAGACAGACGGATGGATATCTTCATCACATCTCTCCCTTTATATCTCAGGGATTTATGGAGAAGGAAATACTTTAAGAGCAAAAAGTGGTGAATAGTACCAAGGAAAAAGTGTCTTCCAGACACAACAGTATTGCTGATGTATGAACTTACATAGATAATTGCAGCATGAATGAGGTTTTCAAAGGTAAAAGTCCAGTGAAGTCTTTGCACTGAGAGGTGCAAATGGCTAAGTGATTTCGTCCTTAACTGAGAAGCTATCTGAAATTGATATACACTGGCAAAGAAGAGAAAAATCTCTTAGTTTTAAGAGCTATATTAACCACATTTTATGGCTGACCCCATGACCAGGGGTAGTTAGCAAGCACAAAATTAATTTGATGGATTTTGTAGTCATTATGTCTATATGTGTTTGTTTGTTTATTTGTTTGTAATTTTTTTTTTTTTTTTACTCTTATTGGTCTTTTGGTCATATGTTTTAGTTTCCATTTTTGTTTGTTTTTGTGTGTGTGGATGTATGTTTTCTGGGTTTTGTGTTTTTTTTGGTAATTTAAAGAAAAAAAAGAAAAATACATAAATTTGGGTAAGTAGGGAAGTGGGTAGGGCCTGGGGAAAATTGGAGTGAAAAAGCGTGATCACAGATATTTCATGAAAACTATTTTAAAAAATAGGGCTGGTGAGATGGTTCACCAGTTAAGAGCACTGGCTGTTCTTCCAGAGGACCTCGAGTCAATTCCTGGTACCCATCTGGCAACACAGAACTGTCTGTAGCTCCAGCTCCATGAATCTGAGACCCTCACACAGACATAAGTGCAGGCAAAACCATGCACATAAATAAAATTATACAAAAAGGAAAAAAATAGATTAAGAAAAGTTGTGAACTTCAATGTAAGTAAAAAAAATACCCAGTCCATGTAAAGTATTTTAAATTTCAATATTTTCCTGGTTTTCAGCAACTTCAAAATTCAAAATAATTATGACATTGATATATTAATAGAATTTGATTACTTTTCTTCATGAAGGAGTTATACAAACTGGAAAATCATTTCTGATTTTTTGTGTTTATATATATTTTAAGTCCAATTACTCAAATTAGATATTTCCTTGTGTCTATTCCTGATCTCTAATATTTTCCATTAAAATGATCCTTTCTTTGGTAGTTAGGCAAATCTTGATATTCTCTTAAGTCATATGTGCACATACATATTTTTAAGTGGCGTCTCCTACTACAACTCATGAGTCAATAAAATATCACACAACAAATCCTTTATACATTAGGAAGGAATTGCAGAGAGCTGTCCATATCTATCATCTATCTATTGGTCTATCTTATCTATTTATCTAACAACCTATCATCTCTCCTTTATGTATTATATATCATCTTTTGTCTTTCTATACACCCATGTATTGCACTGAATAAAGATGCCTAGAGAAACTTCAAGAGAGCACTTGGCCACGCCACGTGTGGGGGTTACTTGAGTCTCTTGTAGTTGTTGTAGAATAAATGGGTCATTTTGCATTATGAATAAATATCTACAATCTTCAATCTTCTAGTTCTGTGAGCAAGACAGAATATAAACATATTTAAAGGGAATCTGTGGTCTGATCTTTCATTACTTCTTAAATTCACATTGCCAAACACTGGGCGGATCATAGAAGAAATTTCTGCAGTCCTCCAATAAATGCCTCATTTCAAAGCAGTTCTTACCCTTTCACAGCACAGAGCTTTTGTTGCCAATGTCACCTTGACCCATTTAGTCTTTCCCTTTTTACTGGCCCCATTTCTTCTTTTCTATTCAGTCCTAGTTCAAAAGCAGACATCTATCAGAAGCTTTTCCCAGGGACTCCAATCAGAAATCAATTTTATGTTGCCAAGTTTTTGATTTAACGTTCTATTGTAACTCATATGTATTGAACGCTAACTTAGGTTAAGACTGGGTGCCTTTCTTATTCATATTTTTATTCCTGTGATCCAGAAATGAATATTGTACCTAGGGGAATCTCTCCATGTATTTGTTGAGTGAGTAGCTAACTAGTGGCTAGAAACTGGTCAAACAGATTTCTTAAAAATACTGTTGTCAGTATGTGTGGTTTTTTTTTTTTACAGTATGATCATAAGCAAAACAAAATATTTTATGTTTAGTTATTGAATATGTCTGTTTGCTTCATGAATTATCTAAATAAATAGCAATGAGTACAGCTGCCAAGCTATTTTATGGAGAGAAACAATTGTCAAACTGAGTTTTTCAAACTCAAAATTTAACTTGTTTTATGGTACAATGCCACCTGATCACAAAGACCACTGAACTGACTATCATCCTCTGTCTACAAACCTCTCCTCAATAGACAAAGTTTAACCTCTAATCATGTCTCTGTTTTCCAAAGTGACTTTTAGAACTTTATTTATGACATAGATGAAAATATAGGTGGCAGTTTTATGATATTTGTGAATTAAATCAATCTTGGAAAGAGAACTGAAATATTGAATTTGACAGGGTCTCTATAGGTTAAAAAGATGAGTCAAATATAATGACTTAAACTTTAAAAGTGGTAAGTACAGGTCCTGAACTGAGGTTAGAAATCAATTGTGCAGTGCCAGAATCAGAGATTTCTTTCACTTAATAGCAAGAGAAAAAAATGTGAAATAAGGCCCTAGAAAGGAAAGAAAAAAAAAAGTGAAAAATGTTATTTATAAAAATTATTTTTTTAAATAATCAATGTCCTTTTCTATTTATCATACATTTACCCATGATATCAGATTTGTGTATAGCTAAAAATACATGGCCACACTAACATCCGCTGGAAAAAAATAGACAACTTTGAGTTATTGTAGCCTATTATAACATCTATCTTCTGCCTTTGAGCACTTGCTTTGCACTGGGTGCTTCGAAAGCACAAACTCGCATTGTCTTACATCAATCCATTTAGGTAGAGTTCTCAGTGTCTTTTGTGGCACATGGAAAAGAAACCTTCAGCCCCAAATTGAGGCGCCCGTTGTTTAGCTCCTGCTTACTACCCCGGAGACATGCTCCTGTTATGCTTCCTCAGACTGGATTCTCCTCAGTGCCCCTTTGATTGCTTCCCATAGGATCCCAGTATATTTTCTCACTGCGAGTGGTGTCGATATTGATTTAGGCATGTCAGATGCTTTTCAACTCTAAAGTATTTCTTGTGATGACAAATTAAAAATAATTTAAGAATATATCTATTGCATCATTTTCTCATGGAGGTTTCACACACCTTCTGTAGAAACCACTCATGCCTTTTGGGTGAATTACATGATTTAAAATAAAACTGACTTATTTATGAATGCTTTGATGTATGTATATTTTAAAGGGTTTTTTACATTATTTTAAATATAATTTTTTAAAGATGTGACAAACATGAGAAGAAATTAAATTTTAAAATAAGCTTCAAATATTAAATGAATTTTAAATGTTCAGTATTCACTATGTTAATTGTTTTATTTTGTAAGCCTTGGCTTACCCCTTCAAATAAATGCTTTGTGTTATGATTTATGAAACTATAACTATATGATTTTAGCTGCATGTAAAATTAGTTGATAAATACTTGCTAACTTAGGACTCTACTTCAGAATAGAATTATTTTGTGAATGTCGTATGTCACTGCCCTGTACTCACCTGCTAATTCAAGAATATACTCCTGAAATCTTGTGCCTATACGGTTTGTAGCAGTGCAGTTATATCGTCCAAAGTCATTGTCCGATGAAGGGGCAATCTAAAACAATCATCATAATAAAAATTACAATGCTAGCGCATACAGAGCATTCCAAAGGTTGAATCAAAGCTTCTTCTTGTGCATTTGTTCAGTTATTTTACATGCGACTCTCATAGAATGCTGCTTTTTATCCAGCAAGCATTGGTAAATAATGTAAACATTGTATTTCTTTTATTTTTTGATGTTTTAATATCATTACATCTTTTTTTCATTTCTTTTCTCCCCTCCAAACTGACCCACGTAACCACCTTGCTCTCTTTCTAATTGTGTCTTCTTTTTTTCATTAATTCTTTTCACATGCTTATATGTATATATAGCATAAATGGCACCTGTTCAGTCTATATAATACTAATATTTTAAACACAAAAATACACAAAACTAGTCAATTAAACTTAAAGTGATTCCTACTTTATCTCTCAGTTAATTAACGGAATCAATGTCTTCTTTTTGATATATCTATTCAGTGGCAAAATTATGTATCTTCTGATAAATAAAGCATAGAAAAAGGTTTGAAGAAATATATCTTGTAGACAATGCAAACTCAAAGCTACTGTAAACTTTAAAGGGTAAAGTTTCTACTAAAAGTAGGTTACACTTTTTTTATTTTTTATTATTTTTTTTGGGGGGGGGGGGGAGTCTAGTCTCATTCTGTATCCAATGTTGACCTGAAAATTAATAGTAGCTCAGGCTGTTCTTGAATTCTCAGTGATGCTCCTGATTCTGACTCTGAACACATATAAGCCACTTTGCCTAATTATGCTTTTTAACATTTATCTCCAGACCAGGATGATTTAAATTTTTCATAAAAGATATTTTGCAAGAAAACAATGCCTTGTGGAAATGCAATCAACAGGATTTTATAATCTGTAATAACTATTGGGTCCATTTTGTTTTCTTTTTCTTTCTTTCTTCTTTTCTTTCCATTTGTGTGAAAAAGACGGTCCCTCAGTTTCACACATTAAAAACAATAATTAAGTTAACATTCAGAGATTCAGCTGGTGAAAGGTGAGGACAACCCTGTAATTCTAATGTGCAGACATTCTTAAGCGTCAGCTCCTCAAAGATATTTGATGATGGTAATAAATAAAATTTTGAATTCCAGTAACTATTTAAAGAGAGATTATGCTCACAACAAATACTGCCCATCAATTCCAACCCTATCCTAAAAGAGAGAATACATGATATTTTGGTAGTGGAAAACTATTAACTAAAAGAACAATTTTGAGGTCTATTGAAGATAATTCCTCCGAACAAGTAGATATCAAGAATCTGTGTCATTCATTTCCTAGTTAGCTGTCCATATAAGGAAAGTTCATAGGCTTAACAGCTTAATGCTTAGATTTAACTCTTTTGAAAGTCCCTTGAAATGATTCAGAAATTCTTTATCTTACCATATGGCCTTTAGTAAGCCAGGCTAATTTAATTCTGTTAAAAATATACTAGTGAAGCCTTTTCTTATTCCACAGTCATATGAGGAAGCTATTAGTACATTCTACAAGGAAGACAATGTTTATATCATCAGTATAACATGGAAGCAAGTAGTAGCCACAGTATTCATTGGGACTACATCACAGTTCTTTGTTTTTTTTGTTTTGAACATGAATGCTTTATAATAAAGACATTCCATTTGGAGCTATTTTCAAAAGGCTCAGCTAAAGAACTAGAAACTGGATGGATGCTGAATTGAGAACTTAACAGAAGACAAAATACTGAATTCATAGGCCCTCCCTCTCCAGGAACAAGGCACTCAAGAAGCTCCCTATCAGTGGACTAGGGAAGCAACTTAGAGAGGGAGAGAGAGAAAGGGTGGGACTGGGAGGAGAGGGATGGGGCTACAACCAGGATGCAAATAAATAAATTGTAATAAAAATTAAAAACTAAAAGAAGCACAGGTTTTAAAGTTTACCACAAGTTATTTCTTTATTATGTTATGCTGAACAAATACAGAAGTCACATAACAGCACAGATTGAAAGAAATGGAAAAAATAAAGAAATCAGGGAAAAAGACATGCAAGAAAGAAAATAAGGAAACAAGCAAGGGAGGTAGAATTAATCGAGCCAATTCAAAGCCTGTGTTCTTACAAAGCAATATAGACCTCTCATCTGACAAGGTTTTTACAAGAAATTCAGTGTGATGTTTGGTTTTGACTATTCTAGATTTAGAAAAACCTACAGTGTCCCTGTTGGCATATTTCTTAAGAGGACTGGCAAGATCCACTAAGCACCATCCTACTGGTAGAGGAGAAGGACTTCTTCTATCAGTGGACTAGGGAAGGGACACAGAGGGGGAAGAGGGAGGGAGCATAAGATAGGGAGGAGATGAGGGAGGGGTACAGCCAGGCTACAAAGTGAATAAATTGTAATAAATAAATAATAATAAAGAAAAAATATAAAAGGAAAAAGCTACCCAGTGCCAACAATCTCTTGCTTACTGCTTCTTATCTAACATAAAAGGACTTCTCCACTACAACATCTTGTTTTTGTAATGCTTTGCCCAAGTGTATGGGACCAAGCCACTACAACTTAACAGTCTGTACCAAAATAAATCTTTCTTATGTTCTTTTTTTCTTTAATTTAATGATAAGGTTAGAAAAGTAATGATCTAGACAAGTGGAAGATTAAAAAAAAAAAAAAAAACAACTTTACAAAACTTAAGGAGAAATAACCAAGGTATACTATCAAATATCAAGTAAAATTTTAAATATTTGCAAAATGTATATAAACACTGATATCTGCTTTATTTAGGAATTTGTCCTAGAATTGCACTTTATTAACCAACTGATAGCTTTTATATGCAAGTTAAAAAATAGTTGTTATGAACAAATAATGAGTGGAGTCATCAATATTATTTCTTTAATTTATGTTTATTAATTACAGTTTATTCAATTTGTAATCCCAGCTGTAGCCTCCTCCCTCATCTCCTCTCAATTCATATCTCCCCCCTCATCTCTTCCCATGCCCCTCCCCCAATCCACTGAAAGGGAGGTCCTCCTCCTCTTATCTCTTGCCCTAGCCTATCAGGCCTCATCTGCATTGTTTTCCTTTGTGGACTACTAAGGCCGTCCCCCTTAGGGGGAAGTGATCAAGGAGCCAGCCACTGAGGTCATGTCAGAGAGAGTCCCTGTTCCCATTACTAGGGAACCCATTTGGACAAATGACGTGCAAAAGGCTACTTCTGTGCAAGGGTTCTAGCTTATCTCCATTCATGGTCCTTGGTTGGAGTATCAGTCTCAGAAAAAAACCTCTGCCCAGCTTTTTTGGTCTGTGCTCTCCTTGTGGAGCTCCTGTCCCCTCCAGGTCTTTTTATCTCCCACTTCTTTCATAAGATTCCCTGCACTCTGCACAATATTTGGCTATGAGTCTCAGCATCTGCTTTGACATTCTGCTGGGTAGAGTCTTTCAGAGGTCCTCTCTGGTAGGCTCCTGTCCTGTTCCCTGTTTTCTCCCTCTTCCAATGTCCATCCCATTTGCTTTTCTGTTTTTTTTTTTTTAATTTTTATTTTTCTTTTTAGTTACAATTTGTTAACTCTGTGTCCCAGCTGTATTCCGCTCCCTCATTCCCTCCCCCTCCCCAACTCCCTCCCTGGTCTCCTCCCTGCCCCTTTCCAAGTCCACTGATAGGGGAGGACCTCCTCCCCTTTCATTTGACCCTGTTTTATCAGGTATCTTCAAAGCTGGCTGCAAAGTCCTCCTCTGTGGCCTAACAGGACTGCTCCTCCCCCGGGGGGGGGGGGAGGTCAAACAGCCTGCCCTTGAGTTCCTGTTAGAAATAGTCCTTGTTCCCCTTACTTTGGAAAACTACTTGGTTACTGAGCTACCACGGGCCACATCCCAGCAGAAGTTCTAGGTTATATCCATAGATGGTTCTTGGTTGAGTGTCAGTCTCAGAAAAGACCCTGTGCCCCGATATATTTGGTACTTGTAGAGCTCCTATCCTTTCCATATCATACTAACTCCCCTTCTTTCATATGATTCTGAATGAGGAATGATATCTGACTTTTAAAACCTAAGAATTTTTTCAAGTCGCCATGTTTATTATAATATAATTCTTCACATTAAAGAAGTAAATTCATAAAAATACTTTCAGATATATGAACACAGATCATATCTTTTATAATAAAAAGATATTCAAACTCAATATTATTTTTAATTAAATGTGTGATTTATATAACTATTTCAAAGTGTTGTTATAGGAATTTAATTACTTCTAATTTATCATAATAAATAACTGCTAAAATTTGCTTATTGATATGTACATAAAGGCTTACCTCTAGTATCATCTTTCTTCCTACACTGTATGTTTTTAAGTGAGTGGTATTTTTAGCTGGTAAGAGCAATTTCTCTCTTCTCCAATGGATTGATGCAGGTGGATTTGCTTTCACATCACAACTTATATTGATTGGATTTCCTTCCCAAGAGTAATACATTGTCTGATTTGAAACAAATTTAGGAGCATCTGTAAAACAATAATATATAAATAGGCATTATAATGACACCATTTAATTAGTGCACACATTACTAATTTTTCCTTGCCTATATTAAGCATTCACATTAAGAAACAGAGAGATAGCTCAGTGAATAAGGGCAATGGCTTTTCTTCCTGAGGACATCGGGTAATTCCCAGAACCTACAAATATCTCCCAACCTTTAACCATTTCAGTTCTACAAAATCAGATACCCTCAACAGACAGTGGACACATGTAATGCACAGTCATGCATTCAGAAACATAAGTTAATAAAATATTTTAAAACAATTTATGACAAATTTAATTTTGTAACTTTTATATAATATTAGTGCTCATGAGCACTTACGAAATTTGCATGTTTACATAAAGTTAAGAGTTCAAATAAAGAGGTTGAATTATAAAAATAAAAACAAAATTCATATTAATATTCTGACAAAAAATTAATTGGTCAGCAATAAAGAATAAACATTGTACCAGTATTTCTGGTTGCATCCATAATGTGGAATTTAGAATGACAGTTTAGAATTTGTTTATCAAAAATCAATGATTCTGTTATCGTTATTTAATTTTTTCTGTAGTCACAATTTTCTCAGACATTGTTCAGCATGTGACAAATGTTAATGTACAGGACAAGATCCACATTGTTCAAGCTTTCTCCACACATTCCTCTGTTAATTCTAGTGCTATTACCCTATTGGTGGTTCCTGTAAAAATAAATTAATGGACTTAAAATACTTTTATATTTACTTTAAAGACTATGTAGTGTTCCATTCTGTGCCTAGTTTATCACACCTAATCTAGGTGGAAGAAATATATCCATTCATGTATTTACCAGACTTCATTCACAAGGTAATTGAACAGATAGTTGCTTCTGTCTTCTGGCCATGCAAATTTTGTTGGCATGTATTGGGAGAGAACTTAGAAGTCATCTCTCCACTCGGGTTTCACATTCTATTAGTGTACATAGAGAAGTGAACTAGCTATATCACATTTTTCCCCAGTAGTAAACGGTTTTCATGATATCCCCTATTCCTTATGTCTTTCATCTCAAACCAGCAATTTTGTGAAATTTTGGTATTATTTATTCATACAGAGTTAACCTGGTTACTTTTTGAGGTTTAGATTTATAGTTTCCTAAATTATGGTGACCATGTATCTTTTAAATATGTGTTGATTTAAGTCCTATTTCCTTTTTCAAAATGAGATTAGTTTATTATTTTCTGTTAAACAGTTTTGTTTGTTCCTTACGCATTATATATTTTTTCCATTGATGTGTGATTTTCTCCAAATTAGTAGTTGACCTTCACTCTGCTGTTTCTTTCATTGTGTGGAACCTTTTAAATTACCTGTAATCTCATTTGTTACCCTCTTGCTTTTTCATGTTTAATTTAGGATTTCATCTAAATACACCAGTGCCAAAGCATTCTCTGTTTGTCATAACAGCTTCAGTTATACTTAAGTCTTTAAATATTTTACTAATTATTAATTAATAATAATAATTATTATTATTAATTATTAATTTGCTCTTTGGAAGTTTCACAAACTTATGTGCTGCACCCTGACTACTGCATTCTCTACTTCTCCTTGCTGTATTCTCCTCTTCCTTACAGACATCTTTTTCACAGTCATGATTATTCATTTTTCTTTGAAACCCATTCATTTTAGTGAGGGTTATTTGTGAACTAAATAAAGGGTGTGAAGAAATCTACTGGAATGTGGTAAGCTCAGTAGTGAATATAATACTGAAGAAAATGACTCTCCCTCACTCTGCACCTATCAACAGCTAATATTCTAGCAGTAAGAGGTAGGGCTTCTTGAGCACCTCTTCCATTCATGCCATGTTGTTGATGGGGTTAGCATCATGCACACCAATATCAGCTATTCAATATTATGTGCTCATGATTGCAGAAGTCATTTCAAACCTCGAATTTGTTTTGGAAAAGAGACATAGCACTTTTACATAATTGTTATGCATATGTATATTGAGTTTCTAGTACAATTTATCGCAAACACTGTCATTTTTCCAGTAAGTGAATATTCTAACAGTTTTACTAAAATCAATTTGGTGTAATTATAGGCTCTATATTCTAATAAACTCACATGCACATCCAGAGACATGCATAAACATATACATATATATGTTTAATGGAGAAATCATGTCATTTTATTAATAGGGTACTGAAATATATCACGCACTGGTCAAAACTGCTCAAATTATATAAACAACTGACAAGGGCTAGAGAGGAAAGGAGAAGAAGGCATTCACAGATAATTCTAGTGCAACTGCACCTCTTTCAGTGTGGAAAGTTCTCAAGAGGCTACGAATCTACCGTATGACTCATGGGTATCACTCCTGGGTGTATGCCCAAAGACGTCAGCACCCTACGCCACAGGTCTCAGATATGCTCCTTGCTAATCTATTCACAACAGCTAGGAAATAAAAACAGCTTAAATGTTCTTCAACCGAAAAAGGGATGATGGAAACGTGGAACACATATACTCTAGGAGCGCAATGTCTTTAAATGTGAGTGTATAATTTGGAGAAACCACAGAAACAAGAAAAGGAAAAAAAAAGATCATGAAGGAAGGAAGCACCAGAGGTAGGGATAGAATGGCATAAGTCATGTAAACAGTCAAATGGGAAAAGGGAGTCTGGAGGATTAATCGAAGGGAAGGGAAGTCAATACAGGAAGAAAAGCAGAGGAGGAAACGGCACTAAGGACATATTTTATTTTCTTTCAACAAGTATTATGCAGATATAAGTAGTGTCTGTGAGTGATGCGCACACACAGGTATACATGCAGTTTAAACGAAATTATCCATTGGGTCGACGGTGCTCACCCCCGGGACCTGATGGTAAATCTGTCATGCTGAAGATGTCATTCTCCTTAAATACAGGATTTAAAGGCGCTGGGTTCCACTTGGCTTGGAAGCTTCTTCTCTGAGCACTAAGTTTCATAACAATAGCAGGTGCTATTCAAGCATCTGAGGAAAGAAGCAACCAGCAGTCCTACCCAGGAGCAACGTCAATGAACCACATCAATGATAAACATGGCATGGTAATCCTAGGAGCTGTAACGGCACTCACATTTTTGTGGTAGCCAACAGCTATCCTATTGAATTTAAAGCAGAGTCAGGAAGATGGAAATCATGCCTGGTACTGGAAATCTAGCCAACCAACCCAGAGTAATGAGACACATATCTTAGAGGAGAACCTCTTATCACCACCCTTTATCTAAATCAGTGTAATTTGTAACTGTACACTAAAATTTACCCTTATACCCACAGGTAAATGTAGCTCTCAGTATTTTTTGCAACAGATGGAGACCATTATAGAAAACCACAACTGGTCAAAGTGACAGATTGCATCCTTCTATAGAAAAGACAACTAGTTTTTCAGCGTTTAAATATACCACATTTTTTATATGCAGACAGCCTTTTAGGGACACTCAGGTTGATTCTATAGTTTGACTGGTATAAATAATACACATAATTTTAACACATGTATTTCTTTTCCTGTGGCAGTACACCTTGAAGTAGAACAGCTACATCACACAGTAGTTCTACTCTTAACTTTGGAGGCGATTTCAGTATGTCGTTTCCCGTGATAAATGTCCTACAAAATACAGTACTTCTAAGAGTATGTTAGAAAACTCCTTTATTCACATCCTTAAATTTACCTGTTATCTTTCTTATAATAACAGAGATAATTTGATAATTTGATAATTTGATAATCTAACTGCAATTTTCATTTATATTTCTAAATAATTAGAGATACTGAAAACCTTTAGGAATATCATTGGTTACGTACATGTATTCTTTTGTTGTCCAATTACATTTAATCAGGCTGTTTTCTTGTGATAACGAATTGTTGCTAGGTTCTACTGAAAGATTCGTGATGATGATCTAGGAGACATGACAATCTTAGCAGCACTGCACTAAGGGTCAAAATCAAAGGGTCAAAAACATGTAAAATACTGACGTATATGCTCCTGGGGAATACTCTTTTAGATTTGTTATATATTGTCATAACTATTTATTTTTATTCTGCCTTGTATCATGTAATTAGTTTGGGTTTAGCACAAAATCACAAGAACTGAACAATGATTTCTATTAAAGAAATGTACAGTATCAATTGTAAAGAATTATTTAAAAATGATTGCTTCCCCTAGGTACAAATTATGAATATTTTAAAATTAGGTATAAATAGTTAACTTTTCCTGTGTAGACATGTTTTCAACACTTAATGTCTCATAACTTAAAAATAGGTGACAACATATTCATGAATGTTGTGATAGAAAATTACATTTTAAGTCAGACATTGACATTGTCATCCTTAAGGATTCAATCACTTTTTAATTAAAATATAGTATATCATTTTCCCCTTCTCTCTACTCCAATCATTTCCAAATAAATCCCCATCTTGTCCTCCGTAATTGAAGTTCTTTTTGTTAATGTTACAAGTATAAATCATGGAAAAGTATATGACTAAAACCTGCCTTGTTTATTTACTGTTGCTCTATGTGATTTGAGAGCTAGCTACTGAATATTGGATAACCAAATGTGGGGCTACTCCCTAGGAGACATGATTTCCATAGTGCTCAGAATTACTTAATCACATATATTTGTTTGTCCAGAGCTAGAGAGCAATGAGATTACTGCCTTCCTCTTTCCTGGTTAGAGCACTTATTCATGTTGTACTTCACCAGGCCTAATTTTGTCACCATACTCTGAAGGATTTATGGGTGACACTTCTCTGTTATTTCTGAGATAAAACTCACAGCCGCTTTCCTGATTCTCTGGCGCTTAGTTTTCTCCCATTTCTTCAATGATGTTCCCTGAGATTTACATGCAGGAGCTTATTTTGTAGATGGATCATATGAGTCTGGGAGTGCTGTCACCACTGGACCCTTGGCTCTCGATGGTATAAAAGTAGGCTGAACAAATTATGTGGAGAAAGGCAGTGAGAAGCATTCCTCCATGGCATCTT